TTCTTCACAAGCCTACTTTTCTCAAAGTTACAGCGATGAATTATTGAAAGGCCCGGCCTCTGTTTTGATAGCAGGGCTGCGTATTTATTGCTTCTGCTTTTTAAAAAATTAAACAGCCGTTTAGGGCGGGTTTAGTAAAGGTGGCAGCGGAGATCGCAAGGCAAAGAACTGTCAGCTCCTTGCATTGGGTGGGGCTGAGAAACGGACGGTGCTCCCCGAGAGCTTTAGCCCAGGCCGGTGTGAAAAGCCGTGATGATGTTTTTCGGCAAGAAAACCTTTCATTCAGGAAGCTTCCATTATAACCCCGTGGAATGCTTGCGGAGAGCACCCCGGATAGATTGGGGGTGTGGAAAGGATATTTCTCTGAGATGTCCCTTGGTAGCATCCGGGAGGGGGAGAGGATAAGAGATGATGATTCCCCAGGCCTGTTGTCGCAGCTGGACTGGTGGTGAGCCAGACCTATCTCTGGGTGCTTTGGTTTCTGATCTTTCGGGGGTGACTCTATTTAAACGGCAAGCTACAGATCCTTGGGGCGGATTAGCAAAGCAATACTGGGGACCTGGCCTTCCTGAGGACCAGCACCTCTTATTCCAGGAATTAAACTTGCCATTCGAGGTTTACAACACCAGTGAAAGACTGACTTGGCCCACCCAGGCGTTTTTCAGGCTGTGAACAGCATCCGCTGTCTTGCTTCAAGAGATATTCATAGAATTGGCAATCTTCCCTGGCAAAGAAGGTGGAATGAATGCTGAGGACCTGTTGCTCCTGCTTCTTAATGGATTGTTTCCTGGATTGTACCATTTTCCCCCCCTCCCCAAATTGTTCTATTGTTTTTAGTCACGTCATAATTTGCCATTCTGAAATGAAATTAAAAACATTTGCTTTTGTTTTGGGGATCAGTGACCAATCACAAAAACAAGCATGTTAAATGAAAAATAGGGAGGTGAGGAAAAGCACTGTGCTAGGTCAATCCCGTCCACCACCTGATGGAGCACCTTGTCTAAATACGCGCTGCCTGTATTGTGCGGTTTTTGAAGTCAGAATAGGGGTGTCAGACTCAGAATCACTGCAGATTGGAGTTTGGAAAAGTCAGATTCTTTTTGATGTATTTATTTCTCTAAAATATCGATATCCTGTCTTTAGCCTTTAAAAAAAAGAACCCAAGGCAGCTTACATCATTTAAAACCAGTCTTAAAAGCTACAAATTGTAAATGCTTCAAATATAAAGATTAAAACAGTAGGTAAAAGCTTTACTAAAAGAAGATTTAGAAGCAACAGGAGGTTTTTGACAATCTTTCTCCTGTAATAAATGGTTCCCTTCCACCCTGCCATTTGAGCAGACGTCCCATTTTAGAAGGACCGTCTCTCGTGGCCTTCCTGGGCCCTTTGCTACGTTCGGTAGGGCCTCCTGCCACAAATGGACTCTGTTTTGCTGTGATCCTTTTTCTTGTTTCTGACATTTCATGACAGCCGCCATGGGCCCTTTTCTGTTTACAGTGTGCACAGGGCCTGTGGTCTAATCTGCTTATTTAAAAATACTGCAAAATTGCAGCATCCAAAAACAGCCGGTGGAAGAAGCTTATTCTAAGCATGCTTATTAACTTAACGATCCTGCAGGAGAGCTCTGCCTCAAGGAGGCAGGAAATGGCTTGCGGTGCACCGTGCAACAGCTTCTCTCTGTCTGTGATCTTAGCCGCTGTCCGTATAATAGTCTCTCGGGGCAGAGGCAGGATACTTCCCGGAAACGATATGTTCTTCAGAATATCTAATGGGTGGTTGTCGGTTCAAACCCAAGCCAACCCACCCCAGTCTTTCTCATGTCATGTCATGCAAAGTATTGAAGGGGTTGGCTTGAAAAGGCAATCCAGGGCCGTTAGCTTTACAAAAGACCCGTTCCTTACCTGAGGAGGTGCAAGCATGCTACAAGTCAACCCATCTCCCTACCTTTTTTGTGGTGGGGGGAGTGTTATTATGAGAGTTCCAACGTCACAATATGCTTCTGGGCCTATGTCAGAAAAATAAAGTAAGAGAACTCAGAATTAAATTGTGGAAGTAAGGACCTCATCTGTTTGAAAAGCCCTTCTCTCATCCATAACCAAGACATGGGCAGGATAGCAGATTGGGGAGGGGGCGAGGCTCAAAATAATTCATATATATATATATTCTCTCTCTTTTAAGTCATGCCATCCTGGTAATGTTTGGAATTTAATTGTTATAATTGTATTTTTTGTGATTTTATGCATGTTATATTGATGTGTTTTTATCGATGTAAGCCGCCCCAAGTAGACATAGTCTAGAGGGGCGGGGTAAAAGTCTAATAAATAAATAAAATAAAAATAAATAAGCATCATCCACTCCTCCCCCCTTCACTAACAAGGGCAGGTTTCAAAGGGTGGTTATTTAAAATTCATAGGCCAGAATCCTGTTGCAGTTTTGAATTTCTGGTTAAAATTCCTTTGCTATGCAGTCGATGTACAGAGACTCACGGAAGATAATAGCGATGAGTTCCGCAGATCGTTCACCCCTTTCTCATTAACTGGCACTTACGGTCTCAGCCGCTCTGAGACACTAGTAGGAAAAAGAATAACGAATGTTTCATTATAGTTGGGGAAAGCAGACAGCAAACAAAGAAACAGACTGAACACCATTTGAGAACTGAGCGGGGCGGGGGGGAAGGAACACTCAGCAGAGAGGCGAGGCTCTCTTTGAATTCAGAGGCAGACAAGAAATGATTGGCTAGGGCTGGATAGATTGACACTGACCCCAGGCCAGAAAGGTCCCGCCCAGCCAAACTAACTACCAGTAGCATGCGAGGTTGTAAAAACTCCGACACATCCTACTGAGGTTTGTGTACAGTTTGTAGGACTGACTTGGCTAATTGTGGCTAATTGACAATGCGCTGCAGCGCAGCTCAGTCCCATGCCTGGTCATGCAGCTGGATGCGCAACCTGGATGCACCACAGGATTCTGGCCCCATGGACTTGAACGCAAGCCAGCTGGATACGTGCAAAAAGGGTGGGATCGAAATGTAACTGATGGTGATTTTTTTTTAAAAAAAATCTAGTCTGGTGCACAATAGGGCAAATCTGGCAATGTTTGGAAAGCACCTGAATATTTCCAGAGGCTTGGAGAACGTTTAGGATCTAACTGAATGCTTTTCCATGAACTGGGAGAATAAGAAATAATGGGGATTAAAACAAAATAGAACAAAACCAGAGAGGAGTACCCCACCCCCACCACCCCCAAAACACTTCGAGTTCAGTTTTGATTCAGAATTGAAATAAAACAGGCACCTGTAGAATATGGATCCAGATGGCAAAACTCACCTTTGTGTGCTGCAGAGTTTAGTTCGATGCAGCCGGCTTGTGCAAACTCTTCAGCACTGGCCGCTGTCGTGTTACATTTCCTTTGTTACCTGTCATTTTCTGATCATGATGATGAGAGATTTTTTTTTTAGTTGTCTTAAAATGATTGGTCCTTCCATGGTCAAATCTGGAAGTGAAAAAAAAACACATGTGGATCCATGGAGTGTAAGCTAAGGGCAATTCCTCCACCTTCGGGACTTCACGATCGTGTCTGAATGCCACCTCCGCCTTCTCCTCTTCGCAGTTCGGTCACTGCCCAAACCAAGAATGGTGCCACGCCACTTTACTTAGCCTGCCAGGAAGGCCACCTGGAAATCATCCAGTATCTGGTGAAGGACTGCGGAGCGGATCCCCACGTACGCGCCAATGACGGGATGACCCCTCTCCACGCTGCGGCCCAGATGGGACACAACACCGTCATCGTTTGGCTGGTGAGCATCCAAACGTTGGTGCACAAGGTTGGCCCAAGGGAGCACGGATCCTGCCCAAAAGAGACAGCTTGAGCAGGAATGGCTATGCCCCCTGCAGGCTGGGTTTGTGCCTGAGGGTAAATAAAGGTGGGGACGTTCTTTTGGGTTGAGAACCATAGTTTATGTCAAGAGATTCTTCCCTTCTGTTTTCCCAGTCTAATTTTTTTTCATTTCCTTTGTAACTTTTGTTGCAGAGTTTTAAATTTTGGTTAAATTCCTCTAGCTACGTAGCAGAAGTGCAGGGATTCAGAGAGCAGAAAAGCTGCAAGATCCCCTTAGTAGATCACTTTTTTCTCTCTCTCTCATTAACTGGAACTTATAGTCTCAGTCGTTCATGTTGAGACATTTGTGAGAGAAAGAAGAATTTTTTTTCTTTACTTACAGTTGAGCAGATTAAACAGCAAATTGAGAAAACATGACTGCTTTCAGCAAAAGGCCTCAACAGACTCCAAGAGAGTAGAAAAAGCACTGAGCAGAGAGGCAGGGCACTCTTTGAATTCAGAGGCAGAAAGGAAGAACTGGTTAGTGCCGGATAAATTGATTGCCACCTCACCTCAAAAAGGTTCCTCCAAAGCCGCAGCTCCTCCAGGCTGCAAGCGAGGTTGTAAAAATCCCAGCATCCCAGAAGTGATATCAGAGAGCTGCCCACACATTGGTGGCCCTTTTCACCCGGAGGTGCTCTGCTCCTGTTGGACCCCTGTACTTATCTGGGACTCTGATGGCCACGGACTGGAGGCACCCCATTCACGCCTTGGACCGATTCCCAGAATTCTGCTTTGCAGGGGTTTGGGAAGGACGTCCAGCCTGCAGATGCACGAATACCCTGGAAAGGTCATTACGGCCCTTTGCTAGTGGTAGAGATTCCAGCAGGCACTGGTGACTCTGCATGCGCTCTCAAGAATGTGCTTGCAAACATGAGGACTAGCAATGTGGCTAGTTTAGGGAACGAAAGCTGGAATCTCCCCGAAAGGCCTCATTCGTTGTGCCTTTTGGGGAGCGGGTCCCTCTGCAGAGTTCCTCCGTGCGTGTGAGGTGCTTACGCTTCTGCTCCATCCTTCCTCATGGAATTCAGAGCAGCTTCTCCAGGGCTTTCTCCAGCTTGCCTTCTGCTGCACACGGGCAGAGCTAAAGTGGTCCCTCCGTTTCTCTCTCCGTCTCCTGTCCTCAGATGAGCTTCACCGACATCAGCCTCTCCGAGCAGGACGACGATGGGGCCACCGCCATGCACTTTGCCGCCAGCCGGGGCCATGCCAAGGTGCTCAGCTGGCTGCTGCTGCACGGAGGGGAGATCACCACAGACCACTGGGGAGGGACCCCCTTGCACGACGCGGCCGAGAACGGAGAGCTGGAGGTGAGTCGGTGGGTTTTTCCCTTAGCGCCCCTTGAGCCGGGATGACCAGGGAGCCGTTGGGAGGTGGGAGGCCTCAGCCGGCCCAGACAAAGTCAGTGAAATGGGAATAAACCTGGAGCGTAGTTGTATGGCCCAGTTTAGTGGTTTGATGACAACCTCTGGAAGCTCAATTGTTTCCACCACTGTGGGCGTGCCATCCTGGGCTCTGTAATTTGGTGAAAGACCCAGAATCCTGTGCTAAAGTGGTTGCCAACCTTGGGCCTCCAGAGGTTTCTTGAACTTCCAACTCCCAGAAATCCTGGCCAGCACAGCAAGTGGCGAAAGCTTCTGAGAATTGCAGCCCAAGAACATCCAGGACCCCTAGTTTGAGAATCACTGTTCTACTAGAATTAGTGGTGGATAGTGACTCCCATTTCAGGGGAGCTGTGAATCCACCCCGTGGTTTAGTCAACATTTTACTAGAGGTAGCCCAGGAGCTGAACCGGGTCCAGCACCCTGGAGAGCTCCTGTAAAGCATGGAGAAAAACCTGGAGTGGATTCCTAGCTTGTCTGAAATGGGAGTCCTCAGCCACTGCTGTCTCATGGATGGCCCTTCACTCAACCAGGAGCCATGGCATTTAAAAGAGGTATCGGACGTCTGTAACTCTGTAGCTGATGGGAGAGGATGATAAGTGTTGCAGTTGATGGAGAGCCGTGTCTACCTTCCCACCCTGGGGCTACAGGAAAGGAAGACGGACCAAGTAGATGTTGCCCTGGATCCTTTACCTGTCTTCTCCTCCCCCCTGGCCTCCAAAAGCTCATGGAGATGCCATCATTCCCCCCTTTCTCTTCTTTCCACGCAGTGTTGCCAAATCTTAGTGGTGAATGGCGTGAACCTCGGCATCCGAGACCAGGATGGCTACACGGCTGCCGACCTTGCAGACTACAATGGGCACGTGCACTGCGCCAAGTACCTGCGTACGGTGGAGAACATGGTGCGAATCTTGCGTCTCAGCAGGGCGGGAGAGGGTCATCCTTTTCTTTCTTTTCACAATAGCTGGGGAGAGCAGGTTAAGGCAGAAGAGAAAGTGGTGTGTTTGTGTGTAGACAGTTTTGGTGTTGTGAAGGATTGTACTGAAGTCAAACACACTTTCAGAGAAGCTCACAAACCATGTTTTGGGGAAATTAGAATATTCTAACCCGTGCTGATTTGGGAATTATGGGGATTATTGTCTGGTACAAGTTACCTTTCCAAGTTACCTGAGGCAGAAGGGCAAATGGCACACCCCCTCCCATTCCCACCCAAGTCAATGTGCAAGTCGAGTGTGTTCTTTTGATAAAACAGACATAAAATCCGACAGACACCTCAGCTCATCTCTAGCACTGCAAATATGTTCCTGGCCAAGTAAAGAGCTTGGTTTCCTGCCCTTTTATAACTGAAATACCATCTGTTAAAGAGATACAGAAGATATTTTACTAGCAGAAAACAGCCATGATTGGAAATGGCTGCTGTTGAACATGGAAGAAGAAAGTGCCAAAGCACGATTACAGTTGAAAATAAAAAAAGACAAAAATCAGTACTGTAAAAGAAATACTGAGGGTGAAGAAATTGAATTGGCTATAGGTTTTTGATAGCTTTGTTTGGTTATCCACTTCTTAAAATGGGGAACATGAAACCAGAACTCCAAACTTTACTTTGAAAACAAAAACTAGTTACACAAACATTTTCAAGTAGTCTAGCTGGACCTAGTAAATTCTAGCTGGTCACATGGGGACCTGGGTTACTTGAAAGTCACTTAATTCAGTAAGCTGCTGACCAAAACTTGGAGAACCAAAGTGAGCCTAGAAAATGGAATTTGTGTACAGTATTTGCAAAACCACAGGAAATTGGGTGTGAACCAGTCCTTGGTCCTGATGTATTGTTCTCATGAACCCCAAAACAGGACAGCCTCACAGTCCTCCCCACCCCCCAATGTTCCACTGGCAGCCTTTGCCTCTCTGGATTTAATTTATAGCAAGCCCTGTGTCACAGTGGTTAAACTGCAGGACTGCAGCCAAGCCTCTGCTCATCACCCGAGTTTGATCCCGATGCGCTCAGGGCGCCAGCTGAAGGCCGACTCCACCTCCCATCCTTCTGGGGTCGGTCACTCGAGGGCCCAGCTCCCTGGAGAGCCGGTGGCTCTTTGTATAATTGTGTCGTAAACGGCCCAGAGAGCAGTCCAGACACGACGGGGCAGTAGACGAGCCAGAAGGAGAATTAAGAGATTGCCTTTGTATCCCGCCAGTAACCTCAAGGGTGTGTGTGTAGCCCTCCTTTCCCCCCCCCCACAGGTTGTGTTTAGCGTGCGAGAGAGAGACGAGTTCGAGGTCCCTCAGTAAATTTGACATGCCATTGGGCTGTGCACCCCTGTTCCTTGAGTCCTCATCCTCATCCCATGTTCTAAGGGAGGTGTGTGTGTGTGTGTGTGTCTTTTAGCTGCACAGGACACACACCTTTCCACGCCCCCCCCAGGTAAGCCTTCGAGCCTCTAGTCCTCTCCCTGCAGCTCCATCCTAAAAAGTGACAGCAAAGCGGTCGCCTCCGGGTTAGAGGGTGGGGGGGGAGAGATGTCCCCTTTCTGCAGCAGCCGGAGAAGGCCAATGGGAGCTTGGCAGCTGGCTTGTTACCCAGGGCAGCGGGGATAATGATCCCAGGCAGGCGTTGTCCTCGCTGTTGCTGTAGGCCTGCCTGCCTTTGCCCTTGGTCCCCCGGGGATCAGCTCCAGGCTGTTGTCTTCGGCTTCTCCCCGGTGCTGGGAGGGGTGATGTGCCGGTCGGGGCCACGGCAAAGTCGGGCCAGCAGCTGTCCGGCTTTCCCGAGATCATGGGCAACGTAAGCTGGGCTTTCTTGCTGTGTTTGTGTGTGTTTGTGTGTGTGTTTTGCAGCTTGTCGCCTATGGGGTGCGCAGGGATGAGCACCAGGGCTGGGGGGGGTGTCGTTCCTGGGCCAGCTGGGCCGAGTGGGCAGGCAGAGCTGACGCGCGCAAAGGAAGGCGACCACAGAAATGTCGATTTTGAAGGGGCTCCCAAAGGTCATCTCATCCAGCCCCCAGGGGATGAAGGAAGTCTATCGCTTTGGGGATATCATGGGCATGGAAAACAAGATGGATGTTCTCTCTCTGGTAGCCCCACAGGCCAAAA